TCGGGAGGTGGTGGACGGGGCATAAGAAGGTTTCTTTGGAGTAGGGCATTGATCAGAGCTTGGTTTTGCTTGGCCATGGGGTTAATACTGTTGGTAAGCTCGATGAAATACTGTGGTGGGTTGTTTGGATTGGGGAGGTCGGCTTGGTGGTCGGCAGCATTTTGATAAGAAGCCATGGATCTAGTCGTGATCATACACTTCGACGGGTAGCGAGAAAGGGTTATTGGGACGGGGTCTCTGGCGACAGTGAATACAACTGGCGCGAGGAGCAAAGCTTTCCCACAGACGGCGCCAACTGATGATACAATTACTACACAACGGGTCCCAGGTGGAATGGGTCGGACTAATCCACGCTTCTTCAACCGGTAACTGAGTGTTCAAGCCCACCAGAGAACCTACATAGGAGTTCAATGGGGAACAGGGAGTCCCCCAGCGAACCCTCCGACGAGCAAGTTAGAGAGAGAAAGAAGTGAAATGCAGAGATATGAATTGGAGATAGAAAAACTTAACCTTCTTCTTGTCTTCAACGTCTGCTTATACCCTTTGGTAATCATTTCGCCGTCCCTTCTGGCCTGCCACCTTGGTCGAAAGTCTATGCTGTAGCTTACCTTGTTCAGGGTAAGGAGGTGTTGTTCCGACGGAGAGGTATTAACGTAATAAATACTATGATGGGCTACATTAATGGTGATGTGCAGTGGCAATAACTTTGCAGATCTTTGTCTGCTGATATGGCTTGTCCTTTACCTGCCGTATGTCTGAATATCATTGGCTCTTTATGCTACGTTAGATTCCAGCTGTTCTGGACTTCACCAGTTGGGTTATGTATTGGGCTCCAAGTGATGGGCTTGGGTTGTTCATAGTGGGCTATGGCCTTTATGGGCATATCCACGTCAGTAATTTTTAAAAAAAAATAATTTAAATCATGGAATAAATCCTAACAAATTTAAATTTGTAGTGTGATAATTATGAATTTAATACTTAAATAAGATACTCAATAGAGGTTTTGATTTTAAAAATAATTTTGTATGAGATTTTGAAACTATCATAACATCTCTTTTCAAAGTATTATTTTGTAAAATATATAAATATCAATGTCACTATTATCCTTTCTTAATACAAAAAATTATGAGTTAATTATGAAAATTTTAAATTTGTATTCAAGACTTATAAATTATGGGATAGATCATTATAATTTTGAATTTATATTGTACCAATTTTAAATTTAAATTAATAGATTAGTTTCCATATTAAGTGGTTTCTGAAATTTAAATTTTGAAATTAATTAGCATATTTTCTATTTGAAAATCATAAATTAAGGGATATAATTTATTTATTTATTTTTTGTTTCTTAAATGAGAATTAGCTAATAGAAATTTTTTTTTAATTATTTAAAATTAAAAAATTAGAAATTTTAGTTGAGACATTGGAGATAAGCCTTAAAAATTAGAAATTTCTTTTTACTTATATAATATATAGATATATATAGGCTCTGTTTGGTAAGCCTTTCAAAATATAATTTTACCCATTGATTTGAGTGTGTTGTTTATTTGGAGCTTTCAAATTATAATTCTATACCCATTTCTCAAAACTCAATTCAAAACATAATCATTACTTTTCAAAACTCATAACCAAATACATAACTCAAAACTCTTTTCAAAACTCAATTTAAATCAATATTTTAATTTTTTATAATCATTACTTTTCAAAATTCATAACCAAATATATAATTCAAAACTCTTTTCAAAACTCAATTCAAATCAATATTTTAATTTTGTTAAGATTTTAAATATTTTAATATTTAAATATCTTACGATTTTTTAAATTTTTAATTTTTTTTTTGAATATTTTTGAATATTTTAATTTCAAAATATTACGATTTTAATTTTTTAAATTTTAAAATATTTTATAAAAATAGATTCAAACTCTATTTTATAAAAATATTTTTAAATATTTTAATTTTTTTGTTATGTATTTGCTTACGATTTGAGTGTAGAGTTGTGAAAGTAGTATGGAGTTTCGAATTATGTGTTTGGTTATGAGTTTTAAAAATAATTTCTTAATTGAGTTTTGTTTTATATGTTTGGTTACGATTTGAGTGTAGAGTTTTTTCAAATTTAAAATATTAACATTTTAAATTATTTAAAATTTTTGAATATTTAAATTATTTAAATTTTTACGATTTAATTTTTTTGAATATTTGAACATTTATTTTAATTTTTTACTTATTAATTTTTTTAGATTATTTAAATTATTTAAATATTTATGATTTAAATTTTTTGAATATTTATTTTGAAAAAAAAATATATTTCCTCTGTAGTATTTTCAATTAAAAAATTGATTAATGTTATTTTCTCTTAATAATAGTTTTTTTAATTGAATTTTAAAAAGAATTTGATTATGAGTATTGATCAGAATTTTCAATAGTATGAAAATAGTGTGTTTTGTTATGAATTATAATAATTTGAATTAAGTTTTGAAAATTCTTTCCAAAACTCATAACCAAACAAATTTTCTTACTTCACATATCAAATCAAACTTTTAAAACTCAATTCAAAACTCAATTTCACTCTCAATTCAAAAATCATAACCAAACAAATTTTCTACACTCAAATCACAATTCCACAACTCACAAACTCAAAATACAACTCATACTCTCAAATCACATTTACAAAACTCTACCAAACGCAACTATAGATTTTCAAATTTTGTTTTGATAGTAACGTTGGTGCCTTTTGGTAACACTTACGTTTTCAGTTTTCTGTTTATATTTACAAAAATTTAAAAAACTCAAATAAAAACTTGTTTGGTAAAATTTTTGATTTATAAATCAGTGGTCTCAGTTTATAAATTTGGCCAAAAAATGAAAACACAAAAAATGTGTTTCCATTTTGAGTTTTCAGTTTTTTTTTTTTAACCACCCAACACTAGCCACCACCCGCCACCATTTTCCACCACCGTCTTCCGCCACCACCACCACCACCCACCCGCCATCCACCACCACCACCACTACCCACCTGCCATCCACCACCACCACCACCATCACCCACCCTACCATCCACTGCCCGCCACCACCACCCGCCACCTACCCACCACCACCACTCACCACCCACCTGCTACCCATTCGCCACCACCACCCACCTCTCGCCACCGCCACCACCACCACCACCACCACCACCACCACCACCACCACCACCACCACCACCACCACCACCACCACCACCACCACCACCACCACCACCACCACCACCACCACCACCACCACCACCACCACCACCACCACCACCACCACCACCACCACCACCACCACCACCACCACCACCACCACCACCACCACCACCACCACCACCACCACCACCACCACCACCACCACCACCACCACCACCACCACCACCACCACCACCACCACCACCACCACCACCACCACCACCACCACCACCACCACCACCACCACCACCACCACCACCACCACCACCACCACCACCACCACCACCACCACCACCACCACCACCACCACCACCACCACCACCACCACCACCACCACCACCACCACCACCACCACCACCACCACCACCACCACCACCACCACCACCACCACCACCACCACCACCACCACCACCACCACCACCACCACCACCACCACCACCACCACCACCACCACCACCACCACCACCACCACCACCACCACCACCACCACCACCACCACCACCACCACCACCACCACCACCACCACCACCACCACCACCACCACCACCACCACCACCACCACCACCACCACCACCACCACCACCACCACCACCACCACCACCACCACCACCACCACCACCACCACCACCACCACCACCACCACCACCACCACCACCACCACCACCACCACCACCACCACCACCACCACCACCACCACCACCACCACCACCACCACCACCACCACCACCACCACCACCACCACCACCACCACCACCACCACCACCACCACCACCACCACCACCACCACCACCACCACCACCACCACCACCACCACCACCACCACCACCACCACCACCACCACCACCACCACCACCACCACCACCACCACCACCACCACCACCACCACCACCACCACCACCACCACCACCACCACCACCACCACCACCACCACCACCACCACCACCACCACCACCACCACCACCACCACCACCACCACCACCACCACCACCACCACCACCACCACCACCACCACCACCACCACCACCACCACCACCACCACCACCACCACCACCACTCCCTAACAAATTCTATCAACAAATCATATAATTTAAAAATAAAATAAAATAAAAAAATATATACATATATATTTTAATTTATTTTAAAAAATAAGTTAAAATTTGATTTTTAGTTTTTTTAAAAAAGGTATAAAAAAAATAAAAATAAAAAAACCTAAAAACCTAAAAAAGATTTAAAAAAAAATACTTTTAAGAAAATGTTTGGGACCTTTTTGGGGAGATCCACCACCCCGACAGTAATGTGGACCAGTGATGTGCTTGTATTATTATTATTTTTTTTTATTTTTTTATTTGGACCAATCATAAGTAAATGAAGATTATAAAAATAATATTTTGTGAAGTAATGCCCCAAATATTCTACCAAAAATTTTACCAAATGTCTCACATAGGTGTGGGACCCACACAATATGGTCCCATGTAAATCCCACACCCATGTGAGACATTTGATAAAATTTTTGATAGAATTTTTGGAACCTCTAACATTTTTGTTTTTTGTGAGGGCTGAATCATTATTGAAACTTTTAACAGGTTCTCGTAACAAATTACACATCTTAAAATAATGTATCCGTTAGCTTAGTGGCAAAGTCATATAAATAATAAATTAATCCAAATCAGCACAGCGCAGCAGCGACATGACCGGGACGGACTTCAAACTTGGCGCGCAGTTATTTGGCGCCAAAATTCCCGCCCATTCTACAACCATTGAAGACCTCTCTCTCTCTATATATATATACACACATAAATACATAATCACCATTGTTATTAATCCTTCAATAACCAGAGAGAGAGAGAGAAATTGTTGAATCCTTCAACAGTCAGTGATGGTGGTACCTCTAGGTCCCGGAAAGTTCTACGGTAGCAGCCTACCCAGGCCCCAAATCTACACCGACGTGAAGTTCAACGACGAGAGGGTCGACCCACCTTCTTCGGTTATTGACCCATTGATGGCGTGGGCCGAGGAGGCTCACTGGTCCATGGGCGGACTCAGCTTCAAGCGCCTCCGCCTCCAAGGCCGCATTGAAGGCAACGTCATCAAGCTCCGCGCCCAGCGCGAGAAATTCGTCAAGAACCGAAGCCGAATCTCTGCCAATTTGATTGCCGATCTTGGCAGCGATTCTGACGATGATGTACATAACAAGGATTCAAGCCCATTGCCGCCTCCGGCACCGATGGCGACAAAACGGCGGAGGCGGTTCACGGCGATGATTGAAGAGGAAGATGACCGTGAGGATGTAGATCTGGCGTTGAAGAATTTAAAGGGAGGGGAAAATGGCGCTGGAGGTGATGAGGTTGGGGTTTGGAAGAGGAGGCTGGCGAGGAAGCTTGGGGATGATTTTGATCGGGTAGCGACCAAGAGTGGGTTGGGGAAGAGTAAGGAAAGCCCGGTGAAGAGTTTGAGTAATGGATCGGAGATCATGGCGTTGCGAACTCGAAGCCGGAGGACTGAGGAGAGTGATGGTGGCGATGAGGTGGTGAAGGTGGTTGAGGATGTGAAGAAGACGTATTCGAAGGGAAAGAAGCTGAAGCGTGTTGGAGAGAAAGAGAAAGCTAAGAGTGTTGCAGAGAGTGGTTCTTCTACTCCTGGTAAAACCAGGACTTCGCCGAGATTGGCGATGCGTTGATTGCGTTTGATGTGTTCGATAATTGGTCTCTGTGGATACTATGTTCTTTGACTATCCAAAATACAACTATGTAGGCTTTTCTTTGTTAGTGTGTGTTTTTTAAATTAAGTCCATGTTGTTCATTATTCTTGAGAGAGTCGTTCTTATCCATTGATTGACCATGTGTTTAATCTGCTTATCCTTAATGGGGGAATCAAAGATGCAATTGATGAATCCAGAGAATGATTACTAGTTGCGTTTATATGTTATGTATTCAAGGGTTTTGGGAAAATTGTTGAATGTCAAGTTAAAACCAATAATTACTCATCCGAAAAAATAAATGTATAGATATGAGAAGTGAGTGAAATATGTTTTGTCAAGAATACTTACTTGCTTAGGATCTATTTAATTAGGGTGAAAAATATGATGAGAAGTGAGTGAAATTAAAAAAAATATTAACATGATGAATTTTTTGAAAGAAAGTTATGACGTAACTACTCTCTTGAGAAAATAAATAAATATCATGTTTTTTTTTGGGGTAAGAAACGGAGAGTCAAGTTACCATGGTGATACGGGTTGTACAAAAAAATCTTATTTTCTTGCATTTTCACCATTCTCATGCTACACAAATGCGGGAAATGTTCAAAAAAATTTCATTCTCATACTTTTCAATTTTCATTTCCAACTTCATTTGATGAGATTTAAAGTTTGATTTGATTTAATTTATATGTACTGTTGTTTCATTATCTCAAAAACAAAAACAGAAGGTTTCATTATGTTATAATAATGTGCCCCATACAATACCAGCATTTCTCCCTAATCACAGTATCTGCTATTCCCTGTTCTTCGGTCACCCTTTCCCTCCCAAATCCATTAATTTGAACTAATGATAAAAAAAAAACTATGGAATCTAGAACAGGATACACTAAAATGAAATTTGTAAAATTAGTTAGTTTGTATGTGTAATGATTAGGTTTGCAACGCTGTACAACATCACATTTCTTGATCTAAAATGAATTTGAGCTGCATCTCCAAAAAAAAAAATCTGTCCTGCACTGCCTTGTAAGCTTTTCCTTCTTTGATCAGTGATCTAAAAACACTGGGAGACCGGTTCCAAATTTTAGGCGATAAACTCATCCAAGGAAATTGCATGACAAAAGGGTACCCCTTATTGTCAGCATTTTTTGATGTAAACATCTCCAGATGAAGTTAAATACCTTTCCAATTAATTCATTCCTTTTTATGCAGTGACAATGAGTAACTGAAAGCACACATTGTAAGCCAGTTTGCTTTGGCATATGCTTTGCAGTTTTTCTAGAGCCGTCCAGAGTGCCTGACACTAGGTGACTTTTAGCAAAATGAATCCCAGTAACATTTTTGATTTTTGCACTTAATTTGCATATTTTTTTGCTTTTGTATTGTCGTAACGCAGTTGAACGACACAACAAGAAATTCCAAGAACTGATGAATTGGGTAATTCTGTTTCAACTACCATGAGTTCCATTACAACGATACTTGCAAACTATACTTCACCTAAGATGTTAAGGTTGAATCATATTACACCACATTTGATGATTAAATTCTTGTATCGCTTGGTGGATTTCAACACGAGAAAAGAAAAAGCTATGATATATCGCATGAACTCTAATTTGACTTCCCTTTTGGGTTAATCCTCTCTCTTCAAAACTCCATACAAAATACATGACACAACATTTTTCTGCATTTTATACTGCAATTTCACATAATTCAAAGTATATGTATAAAATCCAAAACAACATATAAATCTAATGACACCTACATCCTTCCCCCTTTTAGACAATCTCAAGCCATAAAATACAACCAAACTCACCCGCATTATGAGAAATTCATATTTCAATAGAAAGAATTCAATTTTTACCGTCTCTTTGAACACAATTCTTTCAAGTGCTCCTTTTGCGAAGGCAGTACACCCTGAACCGTTGCTAACCAACATGAATGTCTGGTTATCAACTGATATGTTGATGGCCTTTTCCAAGGGACAATCCCGAAATCATCGTTGTACTCTTCCATTCCTCCAACCAAGAACTGCCATACAAAAGATCCTGCACCGGACTTCTTTTTCCTGGCAGATTCATACAAAATATCGTAAATAACTTTGAAGAACCTGTCTCGTTGAGATGGCTCAAAACCCTTATTCAGATCTGACAAGCCAAATTCGGTGAACGTGACAGGCTTCATCAGTTCTTTATCACCATCTTCAATATGAGAAACCGTCCAATTGGCAACATATTCTAGTTTCTCTTCAAGATCCTGGTCATGAAACCTACAAAAATGAAAAGTTTTAGCTGACAATAGGGTAAAGATCAAAGGCCTGTTTCTGAATTTTGTTAAGGTTTGGAAGCCTGTATATATGGCCAGCTTGGTATAGCTTCTAGCAAGTTGAAAGCTAATAATCAAATGATAAAAGCATTTCTATTCCAGCTTCTAGATAATCATCTTTTTCAGAGCTATATACGTAGAAGCTGCACCAAACAGACTAGCACAAGCTCTCAAAAGGGAAAAAGAAAAAAGAAGAAGAAAGAAGCTATAAGTAGCATAAAAAAACACCATAGCCAGCTTGAAGCAGAACTGAAGCACACAGACCCTCAGGAGGTCCTCAAATAAATTTAAATTCTCATTTCGTAAGACTTTGTAATCCAGGAAATATATAAAGTTGAACACTGTCTGTTTGGTGCAGCTTATGGTAAACCAAAAGCTGATAATTAGAAAGTAGAAACCAAAAACACCCCTTCCTCAACTTTTAAATAATCATCTTTTTTTAGTTTATTTCAGCTATTTCCGACCTTAATAAGCTGTAAACAGAAGCTATACTAAACAATTTGGTAGACTTCCCCCCCCAAAAAAAAAATGAAGCTATAAACAGCTTAGATAAACAGTATCAAACAGCCCCTAAGAGAAACTTACCAATGGTCAGGGTAGATATGAACAGAGGCAAAATCAATGGTTGAGATCTTGGAGTTGCGAATAAAATCGGATCCAAGGCTGTCTGCCATTCTCCTGGGTTGACAGTTAGCCTTTTGGGACTCTTAGGACCATAGAATCCTTCTAGGCCAACAGTTACTAGATGGTTCTTGTCTATTGATTTCACAAAAGCCGACATTTCTTCTATCCAGTCCTGCAATTAAATATTTAGGTCATACAGTTACTTCATATTCAGACATCAATGACTCACCATAACAAGAGAATCCGTGGGTATGTGTCTGTATTTCTCTCTCTCTCTCTCTCTCTCTCTCTCTTTCTCTCTCTCTATATATATATATGTACTTGTACAAATGAAGCATAAATGAGTTATTGTAACTTACCCAATTTAAAAAATGGAAAAAGAAAACCAAACATGAATGCAAATGAATTCTTGATAAGTGCAAGAGTGTATTTTGTACAACTTAATTAATTCTAGTAGACAGAACAATTTTTATAGCAAAAAATTAAAGAACTAAAACTATTTTTGCAACAAAATTCAGAGAGATTGGAGATAGAAGGTTTGTCTGCGTTCTAGTCTTTTTTATACTAATTGGAAATAAAGAAATGTAAGAAATCTACAACTTACTTGGAGAGTGTCACCTGAACGATCAGTCATGCATCGGGGCTCATTAATTAACTCCCATGCGAAGATCGTGGGATCATTCCTATACTGAATTCCAGTGATTGTGTTCTTTCGTGTCAGCAAAGTCTGCATGAGTGAACTTAAATTGCATTGGTGAAAATTTTAAACGACATATTATTACTTTCATGTTTCAATTGATATCTTCATGATGTGTTCCAAAATTACAATATCTGCAGAAATCTCAATAGTTCATGCTGACGAACCTGAATAGTTGTTGGCATAAAGCATAGTTAATCACCTATTACTTGGTTAAAAAAATGGCAAACCAACGCACGAGACTCCCGCTAAAGCGGGGTCTGGGGAGGGCAAGCTATACACAACTTTACTTCCATTTATGTATTTGTTCTGTGAATCATTACAATAATTATCACAAAGACTGTGCTAGCTTCTATGTTTTTTGCTGGCAAATGATCCCACTAAAGTAACCCATACTGGTTAAATATAAAATTTCAAGTTCTTGCGCAATGGTTGATGATTCTTTTTATTTATTTATTTAAAATTTTAATCACAATCCCCTCACCACTATTTCTGCAATCAAATTATTTGTATGATTAAAAATGGTGCTGACGACTTATTGAGAAGGTTTTGATTATTATTCCAACATAACATATTCAGTGGATACTTTATCAGTCCATTGTGTTTTGCATTGCATTTTGACAATTAGGTAGTTTTTAATGCTTGAATTCTTGCAAACCATAAGAAGCTCTGTTAGTTTTTTCTTCTTTTTCTTTGTTATGTACAGTAATATTTTTTTGATCCATGTTATGTACAGTAATAGGGTTGTCCTTCTATTACATTCCTCAGTTATTTCTTTGGTTTGGACCATGAGTATGAGTGTCTAAAGGAAAAAAGATATCCAACTCCATAGTTGTTGACTTTCTGATACATCAAAACCAAATTATTAATTTTCTTAAAATATCAAAAGAGACTCAAAATTCTCATCACATGCAATACAAATTTCCTTTGGCTATTGAGCAAGATAAAAAATCAAGAGAGCTACATCCAAAAGATTCTAATTAAAGAAGGGGAAAAAAGAAAAACAATAAAAATAAACTGATAAGAGAGAGAGACAGACAGACATTACCTTGACATGATTCTTGAAATAATGGCGAGTGGATGGATCATAGAAGAATGAATCATTAGAAGCACTCAAACCTACGCCTTCTTCCCATGCCCACTTCACGTATTGCATCTTCCCGCCAAATGCTTGCAAGTTATTAACTAAGCTAAGTAGCAATCGAATCCCGTGCTGCTTGGCCTCCGCAATGACATGATCCAAGGCCTGCCATACTATTCCCTCGTTAAAAATGATTGGGCACAACAACAATAAATGATCATATGTACTCGGAGCATTTTGGGATAACTTGAACAGCTTTTAAGATCCATTGGCCATATCTGTGACTCAGTACAATATTAGAAAATACTAGAATGAACAGACATGTAAAGATGTGAACTAATTTTGTGGTGAAAGGTCAACAGAGTTTAGTAAATTTTGAAGCTTAACATGATTGATGGATGATGAACCCATAACTAATGAGAAAATGCAAAAAACCAATATTTGGGACAACCCGAATTAATGTTTCAAATTTCACTACAGTTTGTTCGGTTCATTGGGAAATTGATAGACATA